ATGAGGCAGACCCACCAAACTGTCATTTTTAACAATTTGTACGCATAAAATTACTTTAGCAAGAATTTTGTTGTAAAATATTTTCCAACTTTCATAATGGCTTCTGTCCGGTAAGACAAATTTTGCCAGTGTCAATAATTCTTTGATATCATACATCGGAACGCAAAATATGAACCAAATAGTTGTAATAATCATTGAATTATACACACGGTAATATTTACTATTAATAAAAGAGAAAATAAGAAATAGATAAAATGTCATGCATCGACCGGGGATCGAACCCGGGCCGCATGGGTAAACGCCCCACCGCTCTGCCACTGAGCTATCGATGCACAGCCGATGAACGCCAAATTATCTATCTCTTGATGCTCGTCTCCAAGCGACGATCCAGCGACATCTGTAGAAAGTATTTAGAACTTACTACATGGTTAGTCCACATTATGAGTGGAATTCAAACCATATGATGAAGCTTGCTTAATCAATCTATTGGGATTGTAATGCACTCACAGTGCTATATTATTCTCACAAGTGAAAATAAGAAATAGATAAAATGTCATGCATCGACCGGGGATCGAACCCGGGCCGCATGGATAAGCGCCCCACCGCTCTGCCAATGAGCTATCGATGCACGGCCGATGAACGCCAAATTATCTATCTCTTGATGCTCGTCTCCAAGCGACGATCCAGCGACATCTGTAGAAAGTATTTAGAACTTACTACATGGTTAGTCCACATTATGAGTGGAATTCATCATCGGCCGTGCATCGATAGCTCAGTGGCAGAGCGGTGGGGCGTTTACCCATGCGGCCCGGGTTCGATCCCCGGTCGATGCATGACATTTTATCTATTTCTTATTTTCACTTGTGAGAATAATATAGCACTGTGAGTGCATTACAATCCCAATAGATTAATAAAAGACTTTGTAAACAGCTACTCCGTATCTATTTATTTTGTAACATTGACTGGTCCCAACATTTAATGTATGGTGACACCTCTGTAAAGATACTCATTGACCTGCACGGACGCGACTTCCGAATATTATTTGAATTTCGAACCTTCCGGTAGAGGAGGGGGCTGTAGAAGCCTTAAAGAGATTCAGGTTATATGCACTCGGAAATACAGACGCAGGCAGGGAATTCCATTCTTTAGCCGTGCGCATAATGAAAGATGATTTGAAACGCTTAGTGCGTAATGTGTATAGTATATCAACTAAGAACGGATGGTAGCCGGCCGTGCGTCTGGATGTCCGATGGAAGAAAGGAGACGGTGGTATGAGCTCATGCAGCTCACGCGCACACTCTCCGAAGTACAATCTGTAGAAGACCGATAGGCAAGCAACCTTGCGGCGGTGAGCCAGGCTGTGAAGCTTGGTCGCCACCAGTTTTTTATCGCCTATTAATCTCTTGGCTCTGCGTTCCACCGAATCCATTGCAGCAAGTTGGTATTTAGCCGAGCCATCCCAAAGGTGACAGCAGTACTCCATGCAAGATCGGACTTGAGCTTTATAAAGAGTTAGAAGCTGTTCAGACGTGAAGTACCGCTTGACTTTATTCAGGACGCCCAACTTTCTAGCTGCAATTTGAGCCTTGGACTCGATGGTGGTGCCGAAGTTGAGGTCAGAGGACAGCTCCATGCCAAGGAGTTGAAGAGTGTTGGTCACTGGAACAGATGTACCCCGAAAAGTAGGAGAACAGGTGAAAGGACTCCTTTTTGCGGAGAAAAGACACGCCTGCGTTTTTAAAGCATTGAAGCTGACGAGATTGTCATCGCCCCACTGGGAGACGTTACTTAACGTCAGGCTCGTACGCTCAATCATAGCCTTTCTCAATCTTTGGATTTCATCACCACTGGCTCCTGCGCCGGACAGATATTTCTCGGTGACAGTACTGTCATCTGCGTACCCAACAATTCCTGAAGATAGAAGGTCATTGATGTGCAGCAGGAAAAGCGTCGCGGAGAGTACAGACCCTGAGGAACTCCGGCGTCAATAGCCTTGAGGTCAGAGGAGCAGCCGTCTATGACCACTCGGATCGACCGTTCACTCAGGAAGTCAGCCACCCAGCTACAGAAGCCAGTGGGTATGCCGTACGCTGGAAGCTTGCTCAACAGACTCGCATGCCACACCCTATCGAAGGCCTTTGAAATGTCCAGCGACACTGCTATTGCTTCGCCGTGGTTTTCAATGGCCTCGCCCCAGCAATGCGTTACGTACACTAGAAGATCTCCGTGGAACGCCCTCGGCGGAAGCCATATTGACAATCACTGAGAAGATCATTGTCTTCGAGGTACGAAAGCAGTTTGCAGTTCAGAACTCTTTCCATAACCTTACAGAGTACGGAAGTGATGGCGATCGGTCGATAGTTGCTAGGGTCGGCACGGCTACCCTTCTTGGGCACAGGTTGCACATTGGCAAGCTTCAAGATTTTGGAACAATTTTGACACGAGAGAGGCGGTACAACCGTGTCAGTACAGGAGACAACTCAGGCGCACAATACCTCAACAATCTTGCTGGTATGCCATCAGGACCACTGGCCTTGTTCACGTCCAGACTGCGAAGGGCTCTACGGACCTCTGTATAGTGCACTGTGATCTCAGACATCAAAGAATCACAGTGAGGTAAGGTGGGTGGATATTTCGAGCCAGCATCTATACGAGAGTTGCTCGCAAACAGATCGGCAAATAAATTTGCTTTCTCTGCCGCGGTGTGGGCAAGCGACCCATCAGGTTTCTGCATTGGAGGTAGTGAGGGACGGCAGAAGTTGGATTCGACTGATTTCGAAAGGGACCAGAACTGCTTACTACCCGGTGGGTATGATGCAAGCTTTGCCCCAATACGGCTAATATGGTCGAACCTAGCTTTTCGTAGCACCCGTTTGCAATACCTGGCGGCGGCATTATATGCTCTCTTCTTTGCTCGCACTCTTCTCGCTCGCACTTTTCGATCACGAGCTTTTACCCAAGCGGTAAGCGGACTGTTTACGAGCCTCAGCTCGAGCACAGTCCGCATTGAACCAAGGTTGGGCTTTATAACCGAGCGGGATATCGGAGAAAGGAAAGAAATATTCCATTCCCTGCCGGATTACAGCTGTGATCGCATCAGCGACGTATGATGGGTCTTCCGAAGAGAAACACATTTGCCGCCACGGGTATGAAGCAAAGAAAGCACGCATCTCGTCCCAGTCTGCTGACTCGTATCGCCATACTCTCCTCGTGCCCCTAGGGTGTAATCCGGAGGAGAGCAGATGGACACGGATTTCCCACACAGTGGTCGGATGATCCCAGCGGAGCCGAGACCGAAACCGAATGTCTGTGCGGATCAGTTGTCAGCAGAAGGTCCAGGCAATTGGGTGTGTGGTCTGTGATATCTGGTATTCGCGTCGCTTGTTCCACCAGCTGGGTGAGATCTAGCGCCAATGCTAGTTTACGCGCCTCTCGTCCAGCATGGTCAGTTTTCTGGTATGAGAACAGCCACTCTTTATGGTGAGCATTGAAGTCCCCCAGAAAAACAAGCTCGGCTGTTGGATATCGCTGAATTTCTGTATCTGCCGTCTCAGAGAGGTACTCCATGAGTCTAGTCGTCTCCTGATCTCCGCTGTGCGAACGATAAACACTGGCGTAGAGAGTTTTCTCGAATAAGTGCGGCTTCTCGGTCTCCAGGTGGTGATGGACCGGGTCTAGGTTTGTGTGTAGACCTCGGATGTTCGTGAGGTGCACTTTGAGTGGGAGGAAGTGTTGCCGTTGGTCAAACTTTTTCTTCTTTTTTAGCTTTTTCATGGTTTTTTTTTTTCAAGAGTTTTTGTGGGGGAAAGAAAAGATAGTCGAGGCGCTGCTTAGAAACCCTACTCGTACCTTTCGGTTCAACTGATCAGAGAGGGAACTCGCTTGGAGACTGCGGGGACGCCCGAGCCCCCCCGATAACACTCCACCGGGTCCTCCCATCCAGCCGCCAACTGGCACGGTGGAGTATACCGGGATTTTTCACAGTTGGCGGGGCAGCCTTTGCGCGTGGCTAGCGCGCAAGTCGGGCCCCCTACTGACTGCGGTCGGCCAACGGCTGAGACCGTGCCTCGGATCCCGCTACCCTCCAAAACGAGTTACCGGATACAGCATCACCTAAAGACAAAGACCGGTTCCGGCAGCGCAACTGACTACATTGCTACCCCGCAATGGCACTGGCAGTCCCGCACACCGACGGAACACAGCAAGGCTGTTTGGCGCCGGACTCCGGCGGGATGGTGGTCGCGAGCCAGGCGGCCCCTCTTCAGGGCCTACCACCGCTTTTGGGATCTTCAGCCGCCAACACATATTGTGAGGACTTTGCCCGGGGTGGACCGCTAGGAGGTAGACCCCACCCACACCCCTGGTAAATGATTGTTCAAAGTTGCAAAGAGGCAGGTAGGAAAGTTGATATGACTTACGTTTAGCTATCAAATCTGTAGTTTGTTGGCTTAATCTATTAAATGGGATATGACAACTTGTATGTAAAACATTTGATGTCGTATCCAAACATTCAGAAAAATATGTCATGCACTAAAATTGACGAAATGCATTGACAACTTTTCTAGCATTAATTTAGTATTGCGAGTGCAAAAAATACAATTACATACATACCATTTCTGGGACTCTTCCAGGTAGGTACACCTTAGAATATAGCAATGAAGTGAAAAAATAAATGTTACTAAATCTCTGGTTTCAGTCAGAATCAGAAGTATATATCTAAGTAGAATTCATTAATTTTCCAAACGCGCTCACATTTGAAATTGCACTTACCGTTTCCCGATGAGAACTCGTATTTTAAACCCCTGGCGGAGTCATGGTGTGAGAAAAATGGACGTTGCAATAAATTAAACCTCTCTGGGACTGACCCGTCCGCGGCTTAATTAACTTTTCAACCAGGAATTTCAAACAGAAAAAGGCAAGAATATCTAAAAGTGGGACCAAATAATAGAGGTAAAGAGAGTGTTGCGTTGTGGTGATAAGATACAGCCAATTCCGTCGGTTGATACGGCGCAATGGTAGTGCGACCGCCTGCGACGCAGATGGCTCCGAGTTCGATTCTCGGTGAGTCACTCACAAAGTTGATATTTATCACTCTGTTAATTTGTTTTCTATCTGGTTAAGACATTGCAGGCTGAACTGAAATTACTAGGACGGCGGCGGTTGCTACACAGCCTTGTTAGAGGCCTGCTGCTTGTAGTAATTGGTTGTAAAACTCTGATACCACGGTACTTCGGGTCAACGGGTTTTGCATTATTTAACTATGCTCGTGGACAGGTCAGTGCATTGTACAAGACTTCGTGTTATATTCTCTCCTTTATTTATAAGCCACTTTTACGTCTCCAATTCTCCATGCAAATACACTTTATCATTAACACAGACTAAGTACCTAATCTTTATTTCTTTATTTTCTCTTCATAACAAAATACTTCTTCTTCTTCTTCTTCTCAACATGATAATGTCCACTCTTGGACGAATGCCTCTTGATAGTTTCTCCACTCTGTTCTATTTGCGGCGGTTCTGGTCCAGGTCTGCCCTGCTGTCTTTCTGATATCGTCCGACCATCTTGCTGGTGGTAACAAAATACGAACATGACAAATAGGTAGGAGATATGTGTATATTTGTGGCACCCGTGTTTTCGTTCATAAGCTAAGTTTGGCTACGTCTAGTCTTTGTTTCTTGGTCTCATTTTCAAAAGTTTAGGAAGCACGTAGAAAGCTCCAGCTAACCCGATTGGAGTGTAAGAAGCGAGAATGCCTCGCAGGTAGGTACACAAGTTTAAATGATCTCGTGGGGTTTTACATCCGACTTTTCACAGTCCTTACTAGCTCCAAGATGTGCTCTGTGTGTTCAGTGTGAAAGAGTTTTTATTTATAAGAGCGCCATCTCTATTCTCCTTTAAGTTTCAATCCCACACACAAAAACACGTTTTGTGGATATCTATAACATAAAGCTTTGTTCTTATTTAGTTCAAATCTAAATTAAAACCAATATACCGGGAGTAAAATAAAGGGTTTAACAAGCTGAAAGAAGGCTAAGGTAAACTAAATAGTAATGAAACTGAACAACTCTCCCCGCGAATTTGTATATGCGAGGTCCAAATTATTCTTTTTATATTTCGATTCATGTTCCATGGGTAAAGTTGTTCAGTTTCATGAGTACTTTGACCTCCTTTCAGGTTGGTATACCTTTTTTGTTACTCCATGTAGAAAAGAAAGTTATTTTATAACAAAAGTTTAATTAAATGTTATTAAAATTCAGAGAAAACTTAACTTTATACGAAAATACCTACCAGAGACATATTATTCGTCTCGTATCAAATTGCTCTTTCGTATTATTTTCGGAAAAATGAGGGCTCATAATAAAAATGTCGGTAATATTGCACCTGCCCGTTATGGTTGACATGGGTCCGCGTGCATGTATCACTCCGACAGAGCGAGTATATTTCTGCCATTTGAATAAATAATATTGTCTTTTCTGTCGTTCAATCCTTGACTATTTAAATAGCCATTTTTTTGGCGGTTAATATAAAAATAATCTATGTTTATAAAGAATTAATTGAAAGCTGTTTATATCTAGTGCTACTTTGACTCACTCAAAACGCACTTTATTAACATGGTAGAGAGAAACGAAAAAATAACGCCTTGTCATAATGCCTCTTAGGTGATGATACTGACAATAGCTAACGTTTTTCGAAAATATTTTACAGGAAAAGATATTATGTTAAGTTTTATTATTGTTAACTTTTGAATATAATAATATTAAGCTCGTAGATAATTATTAACACAGTTCGCAAACCGCAACTTAGTTTTGCATTACAATAACTCGGCGTGGACAGTAAGAAGTATTAGCGAGATTTATAATTGTTATCTAGCAGGCGAGCCGGGCAGACTTATAGCCGAGTCGCGTGCTCGCACCTAATATATAACGGCGGGCCATCCTTAGCCGAAACGTCTTAGTTTGGCCCGTGTTTACCAACAAACACTGTATAGTCTACCGGTCGATAATTTAAAATGCAACATTACGGTCAAGGTCTTTTTCTACGTCATTTAGTTAGATACTTACTAACACTTGACTATAATACTAGCGGCCTGACCACAACAACCTATTTTCCCGTAGCTCTCAATATTTTACCGCAGCAGAAGGCAGTATGTGGTACTAATTTTTAATTTCGGATGGTCGAAAATAAAAATTGGTACTTTTAGAGCGCTGACTTTTACTGATTTGAGATTAGGACAGGCAGATGAGGATAATGAGATCTATCTCTTTATTGAAATCCCTCCTAATAAGAAGGTTTTATTAAACTGACATTAAACCCACACCACCTTTACAAAAATTACATACACTTAATATAGTTCCAACTCTGTATTCTGCGTCACGTACAAGGGTTTTCTACATATTTTGTGGAAAAAATAGAGCAACATTAGAAAATATTCGCATCCGTTGTCGTGGACATGACATCATAAAAGCATCAAGAAGCCATCAGAGGTAGTAACAGGTTGTCCCACACAAGATCCTTTATGCTCCAGCCATTTTGCCGCGACAAATATGGATTTTTATGTCCCTACTCTCTCATATTTTCTAAAACCGGAATTTCGGAGAGTTTATTTCGGTTTTCTGTAAAATGAAGTTATAATATTAAATAATTTCATATGACAAACATATATAAATATGACATGCTCACCAAATTTATTTTATTAATTTCTTGTATAGCGTTAGCCAGGGGTTCGACAAAATATTAAAAGGTTAATCTTACGAAAAGAAAAATTACAAATGCTCTATGGTTTTATTTTAGCCCATCATAACCACCTCACAAATTGCAAACTGAATGTATTTTCTTAAGCCTCACTAAAAACTAGTTTTAATATGGCGTCACTTTAAATGCCCCTGCTGTAAAAACCCTCCCGTGAGGTTTCGGCTTGCTACGGTGGCACAAAAGTGATACAAAATATTGTCCTGTACCCAAGTCTAGTCTGTATTTCGTAAGTACAACAATTACTTCAAGTTCCCTTGGTAAAATTTGAAAACAGCAGTTATCGGTATCTGAATGAGCCGGGACCGTACAATACAGTCTCAGTCTACCAACTGAGATTTTTTTGTCCTGGCTACAGTGTCGAAATCGGTGACTTGTAGAATATTGTAGAAACAATAAATTTCTATAACTACTTAAAGTAGCACAGTAAGAGCAAAAATATTGCTTTGTATTTTTCAGAATCGGAGGCCAGAAATCTGTATAGTGAAACCGAACCAAAAGAGAGTCTGCTGATCATTGACTGCAGTTTCGTACTAGAAAATGCTCTAAATACTTGCTTGCAGTTTGGTTCGGCGTCACTTTGAATGCGGCGGAAGCAGGCCCTCCCGGGACGCGCCGACTTGCTTCGTTGATGTTAAGTAGAGCAATGTCGCATTTATAGGAGCAAGCATACCAATTCCCATTCATTTTAAAAGAAAGGGCGATTATTTCATATTTTTTAAACGTTCATTAAATAAGCTTCATAGCTAATTATAAAAACAGAAAAGGAATTATGAAAATAAAAAGGATTTTACGTAAATTATTTCTAGCTATGCATTTTTAACTAGCTAGTACTTGCACATTTTGACAGCCGATGTGGCGCAGTGGTTAGTATGCCTGCCTGCCACGCAAAGGTTCCGGGTTCAATTCCCGGTGGGGTCACTCACAAAGTTGATATTTATCACTTTGTGAATTTGTTCCCAGTCTGGTTAGGACATTGCAGGCTGAACCACCTGATTGTCCGCAAGTAAGATGGTTCCGTGCTTCGGATGTGCACGTTAAGCCGTCGGTCCCGGTTGCTGTCTATGATGGCGGTCGTTACACAACCATGTCAGAGGCCTGCTACTTGCAGTAGGCGGTTGAAAAACTCTGACACCAGGGTTCGTCCGGTCGTTGAACGACTCGGTGTCCCACACGAAAAGAAGAAGAAGACTAGCCAACGGATGCTTAGAGGTACCTAGGTATGTGCCAACATAAGTAACACACCATGCTAACAACATTTCTAACAGGTTCATTTTCATTATATCTTTTGTAGTTTAGACGTGCTCCTGGTGTTCGACGTCAGGTAGGTAATTAATTATTTATCAGTGTGATCACCCATTGACAGGGGAGAGCGGAGCCGTTTTAAAATTTACTAATTATGATCATAATCTTGAACACCATGGAAGTGGTAGCTAAAATTCCCAATTACGTAATAGTTGGCCCCACTACAGTAATGTTCAGCTCTATATTGCTCTACGATGTTTATATCAGTTTAAAAGGCGACTTCACCGATCGGAACGTTTCCTGCGCGCCGGCATAAAAGAATTTTCGAGAAATAACTGCTCCATTTGAATACCCGCGACATGTTTGAACGCTCCTCTCGAGCTTGTAAGACGCTATCGCCTTTTCAGTTCACTACGAGAATTAGCTGAATTCTCATACAAATATTATTGAGAAAATAACTTTGAAGATTTTTAATTGTTCCCCGTGAATGGGTACCTTTTTAATTTTTTAAGTACCTTTAAAATTAATTACATGACCAAAAGAAAAGACAGAATTTATAGGCTTCTTACAGTCTGTAAATACCTTTCTTTTTGTTCGCCTAAGGTAAGCTCTTTTAAAATCTTCTCTTAGATAGAAGACGCTTTTAAAATTGAACCCAATGGCATTCATCCAAGAAAACAAACTACTTTTTTACTTAGAACGTTTTTTGCGTCGCTGTAAATCTTCAAAGAAGAATAGGTTTTTGTCCCCTAGCAGAATGTTTGCGAACGCGAGGATTATTGAACTTGCAGCTCTGATGCAAAACGCTTTTTAACTTTTTCTGTCTTCTACTAAGATATCGAGAGTAGTAAAAATCGTATTGGAAATTTTGATCAAAGTAAATTAAAATAAAGGAGGTATTATAAAATACCTTTAAGCCTTAAGAGGCCTAAAAAGTGTGTGCTTGTTAATTTTAATGATATTGGTGAAATTTGCTGAGCCGGGGTCTTGGAAGAGTGCCCTCCTCGAAAAGGTCCGTGAAGTGGAGGTACAAAGTTCAGCTCTCATGATAATCACTCGTGGCCCCACTTCACTT